CTTTGTAAAATTATAAATAATTCATTTAACATTAAATTTGAATTCTATGTAAACATTTTTTGGTATAAATATGAATTTTATCATTTTATTCAATCTTAGTTTACATTTAACAAAAGCATTATTTTATTTTTTTTGCTATAAATATGAAAAATTCTATATTTTTATAATTTTATTTATATAATAATACGGGCCAAATTGGAACAAACTGTGACCCGTGACCTGCATGGGCTCGACCCGGATGGGTCAACGGGCGGGACTGGGTTGCAGTCCAAAATTTATGGGCCGACCCGGAACCGTCCCTGAACCCGTTGCGGGCGAGCTTTTTTTCACGCGGGCCGTTATCAAGCTCATATGCTGGCGGGCCGACTCGGCCCGGACCACCCGAATTGACCAAAAATCGTGCAAAAGTAGCTTTAGTTACAATTTAAACAAAGAAAGTAAAAAGCAATCAAGAAGCTACCAAGACTTCCATCGTACCTCTACAACAGCTAGAGATCATGAAATTTACTAGGAATATTGGTTTGATCACCAGTAGCTTGACAACAATAAATCTCACAGCACCTTCTTTCTCAGTCTCGTCAAATTCTGAACACATCCGTTTGGAAACGCTCATCATACAATTGCCAATGACCATATCTTTCGAAGTTGTAAACAGACCTCGGGATATAAAAGTTGGGCTTCTTGATATATTTCAACTTCTTAAGATTTGATGTTGCAGTTGCAATATCACGACTAGTGACATTCGCGCATCCAGATAGATCGACATGCTCAAGGTCCAGACATCCTTCAGATATCAGTGCAAGTCCTTGGGCCGTCAACTTGGAGAACTGGAGTTCAAGTTGCACAAGATGAGGCATAAATTTTCCGATGGCAGCAGCTTCTGAATCCCCATCCTGAGGACAGGCGTTTATATACTGGTCGGGAACAATTCCAACATGCTGTGAAGGATCCAACCAATTCATCAAATTCCGTCTAAGAATTTGCAAGTTAGGACATCGCGATCCAATTGTTGCCAAAGACTTGTGAGATATTTCATAACAATAGCTGATATCGAGCTCCTTAAGCTTGGGACACCCAGAAGCTATTTCAGCCATAACTACATCAGAGACGTTAGGACAACTCTTGATAGAGAGAACTTTAATATTTGGACACCTGTAAGTGCAATATGCTCGTATTAATTCTCATGCATATAGAAAGTGTGGGATGCATCAAATCAGCGTTAGAATAGAAAAATATGAATGAAGAATTGACTGCAATGACAGCTGTTCTATTTTAGCTATTGCATAGCTCCCAAACCAATTTTTTGATTTTGGGTAAATACCAAACTCCTTGGCAGATTGAAAATGCAAATGAATCTCCAAGACGGGAACCACCATGCAATTATGTAAACTGGGAAAAACGTATCCACATACATCCTAACCTGAACTTCAACATATAACCATAAATATTAAACCAACCAATTGAACACAAGAAAATAGAGTGAAATTTTGTTTAACTTCCATATGTTCTGTAAGACCTCAATGTATAGGCAAATACTTCAGTCCTAGCTTAACAATCTTAAAGAGTCAATCAGGTATTTCAAGATTTGCTAAGATTCCCATTCAATTTTCTGTTTCTACCAAACAATTGGATAACTTCATTATTTGCTATTATCTACTGCCTCTGAAGGCCCAGCTCAGTTTTATCTTAATCTTAATTTTGATAGAAAAATAAAAGTTAGACCTGTCAGGAATAAGCCCTAAAAACAAATGTTTCTTTTTTATAATAAACAAAATTCTGAACAAGATTCATAACTCAATTATTCTATGCATGTATTTTTGTTACATTGCTAGTATGACTATTAACCCATTGATCACATTGTACATGGTCGTGTGTGTGTGTGGAGAGATGATTGTGCACAAAATATACAAATCATGGGTTAACAATCGAGATTAGTTATAAAAAATATGTTAACCTTCAAGGGTTGGAGTGACTTGTCTCTGTAACTAGATTGAGATTTTGAGTTTGGAATCCAAATGTGAACTATAAGATGAGATGAAATGGTACAAGATCTAAACAGAAAATCGTAATTAGCACAAAACGTCTCTATCTTTAATTATTATTATCATTGTGCAAAACGTTCATAACTTTCATTTTATTTGGCATTTTCATCCTTAATTTCACATTTGATTGCGCAAAATGTCATTTCCATCAATTTACATCTAATTCGAATGTAGAGCCCTAATGGCTGCAGCCAAGTCCATCGTTGTCGCCATTGCCGCCACTGCTAAAGCTAACAAAACTACTGCCATTACCACTACCACTACCAAAATCAGTTTACCCATGTGTCATTGAAAGAGGTACTAAACTTACTTCTTATTGTATTGGAGGTCAGACATCTCATTCTCTTCTCTTATCTTCTCTTCCCATTGTCTCACCAGATACTCCCCTTTACATTGGCATTCATAGGCAGCATGATGGGAACCATTTACGTTTCTATGGTGCTCAATTAGAATATACTCTTCTAATACTAGTGAATATGATGATCAGAGATGAGAGAAAATTGAAATCATAAAACTTACTTGAACAAACTGACTTGAATCCACAAATCAAATAGTTATTTTTCAAAAGTTTACACAGGAAAATGGGTTCAAATGGGAAAGAAAGAGGGAAAAAAATTTAAGACGATAATACTATTTACTTAAATGTAAATTTTGGATGGAAATTGATGGGAACGACCTTTTGCATAATCAAATGTATAATTAATGGTGAAACTGCAAAAAAATGGAAGGTCGGGACGTTTTATGCTAATTACCCGAACAAAAAAAATATTCACCTTTTCCTACCCAACCCTACCAAAAACACCCCCCCTCCCCGCCCCACAAACCTCTTGCAAGTTGCTGGAAATTCATAAATTATGTGAGATTTGAAGTATCGATTCTTACGATTTTCTACGCTAATTAGAAGTTCCAGTTCACATATGCTTCCATTGGCTCTTGATTCTAATAAGACCTATTGTATGCCCTGAAAAGAAAATTAGGTCCCATTTGGTAGAGCTTGTGCTACTGCTCTTCATCTTCCTAAAGAAGTCACCTTGGACCCACTTTTTCTAAAAAAATTCTAATTAGACAAAATATTTTAAAATAAATTATTCAAACATACCCAAAAGCAGCTTTTTAATCTCAAAAGCTACTGTTTTTATTATCAAAAGCCATGTCAAACAAGCTTGTAGTATCGTTCAAACAAGAATAGCTCGAATTAAGTGAACTTATTTGGCTCTTTGTAGTGTTCTCAAATGAAATTAAGTCATGACTCTTCTTTGAAATAGATCACAAATAATTCTTTCTTGTTTGATGAATAATGTTCATAAAGACTTATTACATGAAAAAAAAAGAAGACAAAACCATGATTGTTAGTACAAGAAAAAGATATCTGTGATGAAGTAAACACTACAGCATTGTTTTGGGTTGGGGTAACAGTGTTGAAGAAGAACTTGATTCAACTATTCAAATGGTCTTGGAGAAGCAAAGGGAACTACTTGACATGAGTAAACTCATAGTTTAAAACACAATTGTATGCATAGTTTTACCCTTAATGTATTCAAAAGGTAGGAAAAACAAGAATAAATAGTATATGCTTGGTGTCTCTGAAATTTCAGCAATCGACAATTTAAGCATTCAATCAACAAAATAGGAACACATTTGGTTGTGCTTAAAAGCAAGTCAGATTCACTTTGAAGTTGCTTATTTTCACAAACATGATTTCAATGTTAGTTTTTTGATTAACAAAACTTACTTTTACAGTACAGCTAAACATGCTCTATCCAAATATAGCCCAAAAACTACCTATTACTGAAATGAAGCCCAGTAAATTACTAAAAGTATCCTCTCTGCTGTATACAAATTGGCGGATACCAATGAATTTCATTTAAAAATAGAAAAACTACAACAAACAGCAAACTTTGAAGTCTCAAAATTCCACATTCAATCATCCAACAACCGGAGCCAGGTGACCAAATTCATCAAAATAAAATAAAAATGATCACGATAGAGTAATCAGCGGCAACAAATGAAAAGTCTTCCCAAATTTTAATATATCAATTTATTACCAAAATTGGCCAATTATTGAAACCCGTGAAGAAAGTATCTGAACGGAGCAAAGCTTACCAGGTTGATGACCTGGGTTCCAGATTCATTCATCCCTTTTAGAGTAAGAAAGAAACGCGAAGAAAATATTTATTTCCAGCTATTTCGAAATCGACCCAGACCACCAACGAATAAATTAAAGCCATATCAGAGAACACACGTTAACAATCACCAAATTGAAAAAATAAATTAAAAACCAGCGACGAATAAGCCTGCACGTAAAACACTCACAAAACCAATTATACCTCTGAGCAATCAAAGAGATGGAGCGATCCGAGCAGTGTCTAACACGGATTTCGGTGAGGGACCCATCACTCCAGATGACGATAGATCGGATCATGTTATCCACCCGGCGTTCGAACGCCGGGGTCCAGTAACGTGGAAAGTCAACGGCCGAATCGAAATAAGCCTCGAGGTCGAACACCGAGTTGAGGCCCGGGTCCTTGCATACCTGTAGCCACGCCTTACACACCCGCATGCCGCCCCGCCATCGGTCCTCCAAAGAGAGCCGCGAGAGGATGTTGATGAGGCACTCGTGAGTCAAATCGGCGCAGTCGTGGGCGAGTTCTCCTGAGTAGNACACCCGCATGACGCCCCGCCATCGTTCCTCCAAAGAGAGACGCGAGAGGATGTTGATGAGGCACTCGTGAGTCAAATCGGCCCAGTCGTGAGCGAGTTCTCCTGAGTAGGTGATTTTGCCTTCTTTATCGTCATCCATTTTAACGGATATCAGTGGATCGACCGACTTTGTTACAACCTAAAAAGGAGCTGCTAGAAATATAAAAGGGGAATGAGTTTGATTAGCCAACCCTCAACAAGTTTTTATCTAAATGTCCTTTGACCAAATTCTTTAAAAAGAAAAAAGAATTAATTATTTAGAAATCTTAAGTGTCTACTTTACCCTCTCTTATATAACCAAATAAAT